TAGAACCTAGGAGTCCTAGTTTCCAGCCCACCCTGCTCTAACTCCTAGATCCCACTCCCCTCCCGAAGCTGGATACACAATACAAGAATTCTGCTTCCCAGTCCCCTTTCCTAGTCAGTGGACAGGACATCTGGATTCCATGCCTAGCTCTGAGGGATAAATGATGTCTCATAGGTTAGGTGAAGTCTGACCGGGGGTCAGGATGGCTGGGTCGCCTTCCTATCAATGTCCTGGTGCATAGCCCTGTATAAGTCACTCTGGGCTCGAGCCGCAAAGGGACATGGGCATGGCAATCACCTGTCATCACCCCAGTGCAATTCACAGCCCCGAGTTGGGCTCCTGGAGGGTTAGGTCCCTAAGAACGGGATCCACAGAAACCAGCACACTCGCAGAGAGTCGCCTCAGCTAGCCAATTGAAAATTCTGGGGAGAGGGGTGTGGCCTAAGCCCTGCCCCTCTGATGGAATTAGGTGCCTAAATCCAGGCTAGGAGGTGAGGCCTATTTCTGCTTGGGATTCACAGCCGTGAACTCTCTCCTGGAGTTGGGCGCCTAGGCAGGGGCACCATAAAGGGAGGGCCAGGGGGGCCATGTTTCCCTTTATGGTGCCCCCCACTTTTTAACATCGGAGTAGTTTGGGGGCAGGGGGCTGCATTGCCCCCCCTCCCAAAAAAAAAACTGCAAGCCTCGGGCAGGCATGGAGAGGCACAGGCAGGGAGCTGATCAGTCTCTTCCTGGTGCCGGCCCCTGGCCGGGGGGGTGGGGTCTCAGGGAGAAATGGAGGAGCAAGGGGGACACGGAGGGGGCTGGGCCTTGAGGGAAGAGGTGGAGTGGGGGGCCAGGCCACAAAGGTGTGGGGCCACAGGAGACGGGGCCTCATGCCCCTCCCCACACATTTCTACCAAGGTTCCAGTGCTCCTGCACCTAGGCCAGGTCAGCCCTTTCCAGGACAAAAAGCAGAGGAAAAAGCACACACCGCTATACCTGATTGCCTAGCGATCAGGGCTCTCCCCTGGGCGTGTTTTCAAATGTCCTGATTCAGAGCAGGGACCTGGAAACGGATCTCCCCCCAAGAGCTGTTACCGCTGGCCTAGGCTCTCTGGATGCATCTATATTGCATTGTAAACCCAAGTCTGTTTGGCTGCTCCAGGGAGGAGCGGGAACATGGCGCGCTCAGGGGAGGAAGCGGGGAAGAGGCCGGGGTGGGGATTTGGGGAAAAGATTGGAATAGGGGCAGGGAGGGTGCAGAGTTGGGGTAGGGACTTTGGGGAAGGGGTCGGAATGGGGGCGGGGCAGGAGTGGGAGGGGTGGAGTCAGAAGGGGGTCGAGCACCCACTGGCAGGAGCACAAGTCAGTGCCTATGAACGCGTCCATGCTGCACTGCGCAGTGCTTCTGACTCGGGTTGTCCACTCAAGCCGCATCCACATGGCAAAATGACAAGGCTCGGACCCGAGATGCTGCGGGACTTGGGATCTCACACACACACACACACGGCAGAGTCCTAGGAGTCGGTCCTGAGGGCTCGCTGACCTGAGTCAGACTGATTTGTGTGTGAACAGAAGAGGGACTTGGGCTCAAACCTGACTCAGAGTCCGGGCTTAGTGTGCCGTGTAGATGCACTCTCTTTGCCCCAATGAGCACTTAATTATGTCATACAAAGGGGAGACTGAGAAAGCTATAAGCCAGGCTGCTCCATAGCACGCTGGTTAGGGGCACTGCCCTGTGACACAAATGGCCAGGTCACCTGAGTTCAGACCTGCTCCATATTAGGCACTGTGTGGATTCAAAGCTGGGGCTTCCAGACAAGTACCCTGTAGGGAACACCCAGTTTCAGGACATTGCTGGCTTGCATATCCTCACCAGCAGAAAATTAAGGCCCAGGTATCCTAGCACTGGGTGCCTTAACACCTTGGAGGATCTGAGCCTGGATGCCTAGGGAATTTAGGCACCGCCAGGGGTAGGTGACAGCTGAGTGGAGGTTTTGAGGATCTCAGTGGAAGTTCAATGTTGGATGTAGGCTCCTAAATCCCTTGGTGGATCTAGCCCTTTCCTTATGTGTGTCTCAGTTCTAGCCTCCCTCGCCTCCCCCTCCCGCCCCCGGTTAACTGGTACTAGGCTATTAAGATAGGATTTGCAAAGCCACTTGGGGGCAGGGGCTGTATGTTCAGTTCCCATGCTTTTTCAATGGACTCTGTGTGTCCAAATCTCCTAGGTAGCTTTGAAAACCCTAACCCCCCTCTCCCGCCCCCACCCTCACACAAATCCCATCTGCTTTGCAATCTGGCCATTTCATGCCTGATTCCTGCCCGCCCTCTAAAAGTTAGCTGGGTTTGAGCTGCTGGGGATTGCATCCTGCTTTGACACTGTTTAATAATCCCCATTGCAATTAAAATGCCAACTCAGCTGTTCCCCAAATCCTAGGGGGCCAATTTCCCTTCGTCTGGTCCAGCAGAGCGCATCCATCAGTACTTTCCCATTAGCATGAGAGTTTATAGATCGGTGGCGGGGCTAAGGGCCATCAGAGCTAATGGAGTAGGGCACCGAGCGACCACCAACACCTCAAAATGTGATCAGCTAGGGAGACTTCAGGAGAGGTGAGTAGATGGCAAACTTCTGGGATGGAACAATTATTCATGCTTCCTAGAGCTGTGGTTGAGTGTGTTAACTTATTAGTGACTCAAAATAGCAGAGACTTGGCAATTTGAGACACAACAGATCTTGCTTCTTGGCTGGGGGTTAGACTACATGACCCTGGACGTCCCATCTAACCCTTAGGCTCTGTGATTCTATGAATGCTGGCCAAAAGGCAGGGTGGGGTATGTGCTTGGAGCCCTGACTACCACCGCCTCGAACCCATGAGCAGTTGGGTGAGATCATAGGGATATAGGATTTGTCAGAAAAGATCAGACACAAGACTAATTTAATCCAGTAACCTGTCTCTGACATTGGTCAGCTTCAGCGGGAGATGTCAGAACCCCGGGAACAGATGTAGAATTATCTGCCACCCACAGATCTCATCCTGTTCTCTAATAGAGAACAGCTTTAGCCCTGAGGCTTGAGGTTTAACTTCCCTTCCAACATTTTCGGTAGTGTTTATTATAACTGGACAATCTTGATCTCCATGTAAAGTCCAATCCCTTTTGGCATCTTGCTAAGTTCTTGGTCTCAATGGTTTCCTGTGACAATGAGTCCCACCGACTAAATTATCCATTGCATGGAAAAAGTACTCCCTTCCATCCGTTTTGAATGGGCTGCCTTTTAATTAACGTAGGCGCATTTTGTTCTGTCTGTTCTTTACACAAGATCAAGGTGGCCTGGGAAAGAAGGTAGCAGATTTAAAGCCGAGCCAAGGAAATACTTTCTCACACACTGCACAATTGTCTGGTGGAACTCATGGCCACTAGATCTCATTGAGACCTGGAATGTAGCTGGTTTAAAAAGGGATTGGACTTCCATAGCGCTAATGAGAACATCCTCAGCTCCTGTAGCAAGGATACAGATTTTGCACCAGGTATAAGCTAAGTAGTCATTGACTGGGGTTAGGAATGGTTTGCTGCCGATACTTAGATGTTTAGTTACCATTTATTCAATACAGAGCCAAAGTACATTCATCTGCACACAAAAAAAAGCCCAGCACACCTGTCTATTTTTTGTTAAATGTTAACATTTGATAGATATTCCCAGTATAATCAAAGATTTCAGTCGATTTAATAAAATCACCAGCAACAACATGCCATGGGTAGTGTAAAGATGTTCACTCTATGGCACGGTAGCACCCCGTTAAATTGAGATCTGATGGTTATAGTCCTGTGTAATGCTCCACTAAACAGGAGCTCCATTTATTGCTTTGTCTCTGATATTTACATGGCAATGATTTATGAACCCATTAAAACTTCTGAAATAAATTAATAGTTACAAAAACATAAATGTTTTTCCCATCCTGCAAAACTGTTCAAGATTTCAACCTTTTGCCAGTTCCACATTGGGATGATGCCAAGATCTTTTGAAGTTTTTCATAGGCGAAAGGCCAGAACACCCACTAGTCCAGGACATCAGAAGTTCACGTCTATCTTCTGCTATTTTTTTTTGTATTGTAGCTTAACGCCCTAACCCCCAGGCTGTATGCTACTGCAGGGAGGGTTTTGCCATCTCTCCATTGCAGATTTTCCTGTGGAGTGGTTGAGACGTTCCCCCAAACTCTGGTTTCTCTTGCTATAAGGCTGGGATCTCCAACGCAATCAGTTCTCAAAGACATTTAATGGAATTTGGGTTCTCTTCGGGTGCCCTCAAAAAATCACAGCCTAAATTACCTATGTCAATTGCCAGTCAGCTGGTGTGAAAATTACAGGACCAGTGGCTCTCTGGATCTCTTTTGACTTCAAAATTTCTTCAGAGAGATGTTAAGATAGCGATATTTCCATGTGGATGGGAAGCAGGTATTTAGTGGTTGGGGATCAGGGAGGGGAAGAGGTGAGGGTGGGCGTCAGGACTCATGGGTCTCATCCCTAACGCTGAGAAGGGAGTGGGGTCTAGGGTTCGAGCAGGATACCTGGATTCCTTTCCCTAGTTTGGCAGGCTCTAGCAGGCTAGAGCAATGGGGCCTGGGAATCAGGACTCCTGGGTTCTATTCCCAGCTCTGACAGGGAATATCAGGGTCTCTCACCCTATTCTGAACTTCCTCGGGCAGATTGAAGATGCAGGGATTTTAGTTGCATTGAGTGGTGTTATCTTGTGGGCTAGGCAAGGTGAATTTGGGTAAGCGTCTTCGCTGAGCCTCAGTTTCCCCTTCAGCAACAATGATAGCGACCTGCCTTTGTAAAGTCCTTTGAGATCTCAGGCTGGAAAGCACAATAGATGAGACAAGTACTAATTCAGATTTTAAAACTCTCAGTCGCTCAAGGCCCTTTGATGACAGAGGTTCTAGACTTTTAAAGAGTTACAACCCAGGCAGGTTACCTGCTATTTTACCTTTCTAAAGTCACTCTCTTTATCTGACAGCCATTAACAAATTGGCTGCTAATTAGGCAACCGAAAAACTATCTCCCAAGAAAGCTGAACCAGCTCTGACCCATCGGTTCTTCTTCCACTGGAAATTTTCTCTCTGTCTCCCCTCCTCCTGGACCACGGCCACCAGAATTTCAGGTAAGGAATGAGACTCTTTAAAATCAGCTCCCGTGGTATTGACTGATCCATGTATATCGGAGTCACAGCCCATGGCAAAAGAGACAAGAGGCAGCACAACTGGTGACCTGTCAGCTAGGCACGAAAGGGGGTCCGTAGGGCAGAGTATGAAGTGGGTGGGTGCCGCATAGGGGCACTGAGAACAGAATGAGAAGGCAGCAGAATGCTTTCACTAAATGCCATGATTTTTTCCCCCACCTCTGTCTTGTTAGGAGAATTTTGAACAATTTCAGGAGCTGTTAGAACTAGATGGAGCTCCAGCCTCAGAGAGTGAGGCGCAGTGGGTGAAAGGATAGGGGAATCAGGACCCCTGGGTTCTAGCCTCAATTCTGGAAGGGAAGTGGGTTTTTGTGGGTTAGAGAAGGGGGGCTGGGAGTCAGGACTCCTGGGTTCTATTCCTACTGTGGGAGGAAGGAATGTGAAGTGGAATGACTTCCGCAGGAGTGATTGAGGGAGTCCGGCCCCAGAACCTCCCGCCATTCAGCAGTTAGTGGGCGCTCTCCCCTGCAGGGTGGGGATAGCCAATCCCTTACAGAACTCTTTGTCAGTAACATCTGTGCAGGCACTTTTGTCAACCAAACTTGCCACCTCATCCAAGAATGAAATCAGGTTCGTTTGGCAGGCCCTATTTTCAGAGGTGTAGTGATAAAAAAAACCTGGGGAAACCAAACTCCATATTCCCCAAATGGGACCTGGGTAAACGCCATTTATCTACATTGATCCCCCCCAGCTACATTGCTCCCCATTTTTCCATGTTGACTGCTGTTAATTATAACCTCATATTTTAATTCTTTATCAATTGACTCCTGTAGCACTTTTCCTGTTATTTTTCACAGGATTGATGTCAGACCAACCAACCTCCATATACCTCGATCTTCACTTTTTGAATACTGGCATAACATTAGCACTAGTCCAGTCTCCTGGAATTTCCCTGGTATTCCAAGCTTTGTTTCAAAATAACATCAGAGGGCCAGACATCTCATCAGCCAACTCTTTTTGTACTCTTAGGTTCAAATTATCCAGGCCTGCAGATTTAAAAATGTGTATTCCCTAGTAGACGTCGTATAACATCCTTCTTGGTTACTCATGGGCTGGAAAGTACTTCATCATCCTTATGTGATAGGAATATACCATCCTGCTTCTTTCCAAATATAGAGCAGGAATATTTCCTTTTCTGCATCATTATTAACAATTTTACCATCTCCACATAGAAATGGGCCTATACCTTTGCTAGGATTTCTTTTGTTCCTTAAAAAGCTCCTTTTTATTCTCCTTATTCTTGCCAGCCTTGGAGATTCGCTTGATGTCTTTAGCTTCCCTTATCAATTTCCTGCAATTCATAATGTCTAATTTATATTGGTTGCTATCTATTTTGCCTTTTATATATTGCTTTTTTTATTTTTTATTTCTACCTTTACTTCAACACTGAACCAGAATGGGCTTTTAGAATCATAATCTTATGGCCATCTGATAAACTCTTCTTAAAGAACTCCCAATTTTCATTCACATTTTTCTGACTACATTTTTCCGCCCAATCAGTTTTCATAGAGTCATAGAATCATAGGACTGGAAGGGATCTCGACAGGACAACTAGTCCAGCCCTCTGCACTCATTGCAGGACAAAGTATTATCTAGACCACAATTTTGCTCACAATTTTTCTCTGTGTTTAGAAATTACCCCTTTTGAAGCACCATGTGTAATATTACTGGTTGGGACTGTCCTCTGTTTGCTGATATTGATTATAATCATGTCATGATCCCCGCTCTCTACACAACCACCAACTTTCAATCTAGTAATTACTCCATCTTTATCCAGCCTAATGAGTTCCAAAATCAATTTACCCCATGCTGGATGCAATAGTTTTTGTGTTAGAAAATCATCATTTATAATTTTGAAAAAATCCAATGATGTTTAACTGGCTGCACAAGACCTCTCATGTACAACTCCCTGCTCAAAGTCCCCCAAAATGACACAGTTTTTCCTTCCACATATTATGAGCAGGTGTTCAAAGAGGAACTTGTCCTGTTCTCTGGTTTGATTTAGTGCTCTGTAACAGACGCCAACAATATCCCTGCCTCGCTTTGTTAGTTAGCGGGTTGATCTTGAATTCAAGATTCTGTGGTTCTGAATTATCAGTTACCTCAAAAACAAGTAATAGTGTCTTTAATGTGAAGTGACACCCCTTACGCTTCTTTCACCTACTCTATCCTTCCCGAACAGTTTATAATCACTAGTAATGCCAATTACATCAAATTGCTTCTCAACTACAAAAAATGTCCTGTTCCTCTCACTTATTGCCCGGACTCCTAGAAAATTGAAACATTCAAATAAAGTCTGAGGAAGCCACTCGGGATTGTGCCCATTGACTGCAACAGGAGGAAGGCGTGAATAATGTTCTTTGAATTTATCTCTTTATTTCTCCTCAGGTCCCACTCCAGGTCCCTCAGACTCGATTGCACAGGCCCAATGGAGCAGCTGTGGAGAAACCAGACTCCAGTGGGGGAGTTCCTCCTGGCAGCCCTTTCCCCGACTCCACAGTCCCAGGCCGCCTTGTTTGCTGTGTTCCTCTTGGTCTACGTCTCCACGCTGGTGGGTAATACCCTCATTATGGCGACAGTCAGCTCAGACCCCCGCCTCCGCACTCCCATGTATTTCCTGCTGGGCAACCTCTCCTTCCTGGACCTGTGCTACTCCACCGTCACTGCCCCCAAGATGCTGTTGGACTTTCTGTCTGAGAGGAGGAGTATTTCCTACCAGGCCTGCATGGTCCAGCTCTTCTTCCTGCACTTCGTGGGGGCGGCCGAGATGTTCCTGCTCACCGTCATGGCCTACGACCGCTACGTGGCCATCTGCAAGCCCCTCCACTACCCTAGCATCATGAACCGGACCCTATGCAGCTGGCTGGTGGCGGCTTCCTGGGCGGGAGGGTTCATCCACTCCATGGTCCAGACCATCCTCACCATGCGGCTGCCCTTCTGCGGGCCTAACCGGGTGGACAACTTCTTCTGCGATGTCCCACCAGTGATCAAGCTGGCCTGCACTGACACCTATGTGGTGGAGCTGCTCATGGTCTCCAACAGTGGGCTAATCTCCACCAGTTGCTTTGTTATCCTGGTAGCCTCTTACACCACCATCTTGGTGAGGATTCGCTCCCCTGAAGGGCGTCGCAAGGCGCTCTCAACCTGTGCCTCACACCTGACTGTGGTGACCTTATTCTTCGGGCCCTGCATCTTCATCTACGCCCGGCCCTTCTCCATCTTCTCAGTGGACAAGCTGGTCTCAGTCCTGTACAACATCATCACCCCCATGCTCAACCCCTTGATCTACACACTCAGGAACAAGGAGGTGAAGTCAGCCATGAGTAGACTGAGGACAAGGAGCATTACTTCTGGGGGGAAGGTAATAGTCTGAGATGCAGGGAGAGCTGAGAACCAGGCAGCCATCTTGGGGAGATATGGATCAGCCAAGGCAGCCATCTTGGGGAGATATGGGCTGGACAAGGCAGGGGAGCCATAGAAGCCAGGAGTCCTGCCTCCCAGCCCCGTCCCCACTCTAATCCACTAAACCCCACTCCTCTCCCAGAGCTGGGGATAGAAGCCAGGAATCCTGGCTCTCAGACCCTCACCTCCACTCTTTCCACTAGACCTCCAACTCTCTTACAACAGGAATGTCTTTAGCGGTTATTGGATGACTCTGTAACATGCAGCCTGCATTAACCATCCGATGTCCTGCAGGACAAAGAGGCCCACAACACCTAAGTCCCAGCCCTCCCTGCTGGGGGACCTGGGATTAGAACTTGAGATCTTCTTCTCCACATGCTCACTGAGTTAAATGAGAGCCCCTAGCTGCAGCACTATGATGTCTCTGATATCGCCATGCTGTCGCTAGGGGGCGACATTGCCCCAAGATGGTACATTGCAACTTGGCAATGTGGTCCTGGGGTGGATTTTGGCAGCAAACACTGGACCCGAAGTGCCTTGTCAGCCCTTTCACCCCAGGGGAATTACACTGGCTGTTTTCACAATTCAGCTCCATCCCCTAGGGTATTAATTACAGATAATGATTCCCCACCACCTGGGACATCGTTAGGAACTGATGCACCCAGCAAGAAATTGCCACTGGTTTCTGGGGAAGCTTTCAGCAAATAACAGGATGTTTGTCCTCCAAGAGGCAGCCTTCTTGGAAACTCTCAAAGCTGGGGAATGCCAGATAAAGAAACTGAGGCACAGAATTACCTAGATGCATAGATGATAATGCCCAGGAAGGATCATTGTTATCATCAAGTCTGACCTCCTGATGATCACATCCAGTGACTCATTGCAGTTGACCTGGAGCAAGCCTCTTGGAAAGAGGTGCCCCATCTCCATGGAAAATCTCCAAGAGATGGAGAATCCATCATGTCCCCAAGTCAATTGCTCTCCTGGTTCATTGTTAAAGATTTGCACCTTATTTCCAGCCTGGACTTTGCTGATTCCAGCTACCAGCCATTGGGTCTCCAGGCCATAGATCATTCCCGTAGCTCTTCTCCCCTTCAATGGTACGGAGAAGCTCTAGCGATTCCATCGTTAATAAGAGGCAATTTTCCAAAGGGCCCTAAAATCCACTTGCCTATTTGGATTGTCTTGGAAATTGCCATGTTTTTTCAGGATCTCTCATAGAATTAGGGATGCAAATTGGGGGAGCATTTGGTCAAAGGATCCCAGAGATAGAGCAAAAAAGAACCTGCCAGTCAAATTTCTCCCATTTTTCTTTTTTGTGCATACTCACATCTGGAACCGTGGCAAGAATCTGCACAAAATGATCTCAGCCAGTTGGATTGGACCTTAGCGGACACCCAGTTCTGCACTGAGGCAGCAATGGTGTCCAGGCAGGGCCAGCCTTAGGGAAAATGGCACCCTGGGCAAACTTGTATTTTGGACCGCCAGACCCTCACTGCCGCCCCGAGCTCCCCACCCAACCCCCATCACCCCTAGGCCCCACTCTGATCCAGTGCATAGTTGAATCTGGGGATCCCACATAATAGGTGAGTGTCCTAACCCCTTGGATTCTTGGGCATTCTAGGGTGGGCTTCTCTCCTGTTGAAGCAGTTGAAGGTCTCATTTGTGCAACAGCAGTGTGCCTAAATGTTGGGTGTTGCGACACTCAGCCTAAATCCCCCTCTGGAATCTAGCACTAATAGCTCCAGTGAAGCTGGGTGGTGGCCGCAAGCCACGGGAAAAGGTTAGTGCCAAAGATTGGACATTTCCAAGGCTCTAGAGTGAGCTGGGATGCCAAATCCCACTGCAGTTCATAGAGACTTTAGAGATACTACAGCCAAAGACAGAAGGTGCTGTTGAACCTTGGAAGATGTGAAGATTCCCATGTCCCCCAACCCCAAAGAAATCAGTATATCCCCCGACCAGAGAACACACCCCTCAGTTTACTACGAGCTGCCTCTGTCTGGAGCTGTATCGACAGAAGTATCTGTTCAGTATTAACGAGGTGATCAAAGAGATTGCCACCCAGCCAGGTGAAACACACCAAGGTGGGAAGATCAGTCCCAGGGAGCTGCAGAAGATCCCAAGCACGTTCCAATGGGAATCAGGTGTTCAGATCCCCTAGGTGGCTTTGTCAACTTCACGGATGGGTTCTGGTTGCAAAACTCCACAGCCCTCAGCAGCGAAGGAGATCAGCCATGAATTGAGAACAGAAGAACATAAGAACGGCCATACTGGTCAGACCAAAGGTCCATCCCAGAATTCTGTCTTCCTCTGGACTCTTCCAATTTCTCCACATCTTTCTTAGGGTTTGGTGCCCAAAACTGGACACAGTACTCCAGCAGTGGCCTCACCAGTGCTGAGTAGAGCAGGACAATGACTTCCCATGTCTTACAGATAATGTTCCTGTTAATACTCCCCAAAATAATATTAGCCTTCTTTTCAGTTGCATCTTATTTTTGGCTCATGTTTGTGAGCCAGGATAACCCATGGCTCCTTTACAGCAATGCTACCACCTACCCAGTTATTCCCCATTTTGTAGTCATGTATTTGATTTTACCATCTTAAGTGCACTAATTTGCACTTGTCTTCACTGAATTTCCCCTAAGTGATTTCAGAGCAGTTCTCCAATTGCTCAAGACGATGTGAATTCTAATCCTGTCCTTCAAAGCTCTGGTAACCCCTAACAACCTGAGGTCATCCACAGATTTTATAAGCATCTTCTCCGCTCCCTCATCTGAGATGTTAATGAAAATCCCTGGAGGGTCCCTTAACATGTCCTCCCTGTTTGACAGTGCAGCATTGATAACTGCTCTTTAAATACCAGTTGTGCACTGGAATTTCAGCCAGACTGTATTTCCCCCCTTTTTTTTTATACTACCATGGGGAATGGGGCCAGATGCGACAAAACATGGGGGTCTGCATATCATGGCTTCAGGGACGATCCTGCTCTGGAGGAGGTGGATGGGGGGTAGGACTACATGTGTTGGGTTGTATGGATCTGTAATTTCTTTCTACAGCTTTTAGCCAGTTTTACTCCTTCTCTCTCCTGCTTCTAGTCCCCCGTAAACCATACAGCCTTCTCCTCCCCACCCCTTACCACTTGCCCCAAGTGCCCATTATACAGTACAGCTGCCCCTTCCTTACCCCACCCTCTGCTGCCCCTAGTGCCCATTTTAGAATATAGCCGCCACTTTGCCACCCCCACCCTCTGCTGCCCCTAGTGCCCATTATACAGTATAACCGCCCCTTCCCCACCCCCACCCTCTGCTGCCCCTAGTACCCATTATACAGTATAGCCGCCTCTTCACACCTCCACCCTCTGCTGCCCCTAGTGCCTGTTATACAGTATAGCCCCCTTTTCACACCCCATACCTCCTGCTGCCGGCAGAGGATGAGGGGAGAGGTAGCGGTGGCTAGGCTGTATAACAGGCACTCGGGACAGGACAATGAATTTGTTGCAAAGAAAGGAGACCACATAGTTCCATCCCCTCTCATCCCCCAAGTTCAAGATCATCCCAGACAGCGCATCCCTCAGGATGGTGGTTTGGGGACCTCCCCCCGGCCCACCCAGCCCCACCCGCCAGGGCATTGTCATCCTGTCAGCGCCAAGTTCTGTTCTCTCAGCTGAATGTCCAAGTGCTCCAAGGCTCAGCTGGTGTTTGTGTCTCTGGGTGTTTTTCTCCCCACCTCACTCAGCCCTTGGTTGATTTTCTGCCCACTCGGTGTTGTTCTGAGGTGAAAGGAATTCACACCGGACACCAGCTTCTCCGGAGCAGGGCTGAGGGGATACCCCCATGCTATGAATAGACCCTGTTTTCCTCCAGGCACCTCCTCTCCCTCAGTGCTGGATGTCGTGCCTCGTGTATAATACGCGGATGACTCTGACCAGCGAGTTTGTGGATGGCTGGGACCCTGCAGGGTCTCCTGGCCAGATGGTAAAAGCTCCTTTACTAGAGATTTTTCAGCTGAGTTTTGACAAGTCAGTGTACGGGGAGACGGAGCCTCAATTCCCATGGGGATCTCACCTCAAACATCCTCCCGAACGTGTGGGCTGCGGTGTCTCCTGAGGGTACCAGCGGCTAGATCTAGCACCCAGCCACGTCTCATATTTAGGCCCCACGTCTCATATTTAGGCCCGTGAGATCCTGACAACCCTCCCAATTAGCTGCCAGCTAACCTGGGAAGCACCTAAACACACTATACAGCTACGTGTAACAACCAGCTACATTCCCAAGGCGCTGAAATGTCGCCGGTGGGCGGGTGTGGAAGCGTCTCGGTCCTGATGCGTCTACAGAACCGTAGCTCATGTCTCGGCCATGGTGGGAGCCTCCACCTAGGCATTGCTCTGGCTATTTCGTCTCTGCAGCCTGTCCCTAGGTTTGCTCGGGGCGGGGGAGGGATATTTTTGTGGTTGGCTGTGGGGAGGGTGTCCCAGCTGCCCCCTGCTAGTGGTATGTGCCCTGCTCTGTCTGTGTGTGTCTGTCCTTATACCTGAGAGCCCCAGAGGTTGAGCACTCTCCTAGGAAGTGGGAAACCCCCCAGTTCAAATCCCGCCTCTGCTTGATTTGGGTCAATGACTTGAACTTAGCTGAGTGCCCTGGTTAACAGTTATAATGGGGCAGGGGGATCTCTCTGCGGGGGATTCGGGACTCCTGGGTTCCATTCCAGGGGCACGGTGACTTCCCTCCCTTGCTCATTGCCTCAGTTTCCCCAGTCCCCACCTGACCCAGCTCTGCAGAGTGGCAATGTATTTTCAGTCCCAGCTAATGAGACCCCTGAGTGCTGAGCTACACCTGCTTCTCCCTCCCATCATTGCTTGTCTCCCAGAATTCCCATGGGGGCCCCAGAGGGGATATAGCAGGGGATTGTATGAGGGGATTGGGCCATGAAGCAGGCGGGGACAGAGATGGGACCTGGCCGTGGGAGGCAGCGCAGGGTGAGTGTCGGCCTGTCCTCCCCTCTTGTTCTGTCCCCACCAGTCCTCCCTCTCCAATTCTGGCTGCCCCTCAGGACCGACAGAACCACCCTCCTATGCTAAACCTCCCGCATCAGCTCTGCCAATGCTCCTCAAGCCAACCCACAGCCCCTGCTAGCCCAGCCCTGGGCTCCTCCCAGCTCTGCCTGTGCCCCCCACTCCTGACCCACAGCCCCTGCTAGCCAAGCCCAGGGCTTCCCCCCTCTCCTGCCACCCCACTGCTCTGCTGGTGCACCTCATTCCCAACCCACAGCCCCCTACTATCCTAGCCCTGCCACCACTCCCAACAGCTCTGCCGGTGCCTCTCAATCCTGACCCACAGCCCCCTGCTAGCCTAGTCCTGGGATCCCCGCAATCCTACCTCTGCCGGTTTCCTTCAGTCCTGACCCACAGCTCCCTGCTAG